GAAAACATAAAATTATATAACTATTTAAAGTCAAAATAAAAATTATTATAATATCTATCCTCGGGTATCTTCAAACCATACTGATGATGTTCAGGGTAAGATTTTCAACGCTTGGAAAAACCTTCAAGCTTGCATTCGAATTTCTGTATTATTTCCACAATGGATGCTTTTTTATGTTGGTTTTGTTTACTCCCCCATCTTAAATCATACAGGAAGTGCACTCCCGACCCTGCCTCTCAAGGCCACCCGGACTGAGAGGGATACAACATCACATTTCTTCCGACTCCTTTTTAAGAAAACAAATGGTTACCTGTTACTTTAATAATTACAATATTTTTTTCTTTTAAGAATTCATTTTTGAAAAAAAAAAGTTGATGCTTCACAGTGTTCCAAAATCAAGGTTATCCTAAATCCTGAAGATGTTCGGAGTCAACTAGGTAACGACTGAAAAAAGTCACTTCTTAAGAAAGTACGTAATTGGATTCAGAGTCGATTCTTACGATTCCTAGCTTTCAATAATCGGGAACCTAGCCGCCCAGCACTAGCACTAACTGAGATACTCGATAAATTTTTTTTCCTACTCGGGAATCGAACTCGGGTCTCTTGTGTGCGACAGCGAAATGCCTATACCGCCACACCACATACATCGGGTATGATGGACGCGAGACACACCAGAGAAAAAAACCCTCCGCTATTTGGAACAAAATGTGTTGTCCTGAAGAGTATATTAAGAGACCCCTCTGACATAAAGATAGAGCTCTCTTTTCAATAAATATGGGCCATTGTCTTCTTCTTCATCGCCGGACCATAAAAAATACGCCTGTCAATAAAAATTGCAATTAGCAACGTCATCAACACCAAAATTATAGGAAATAAAAAAAAGTCCCTAACAGCAAGAGGAAGTTAATAAATGTATTACGTTTGGAGAAGAGAAAGTTATAGATAGCGTACTAGATTTAGCAGAATAATAAAGTAACACGGAAATATTTACAACCGGAGAGGAGAGGAGAGAGGAGAGGAGAGGAGACTGGTTGGTGTCCTTGCAGGGGAGGGGGAGGGGGGCTGTCGTTACGTGGTAACGTTATTGTCCACGCCGATGTACTTCTTCCCGTCAAACTGGCGGTACTTCCCACTGGGGGCCGGCGATTTCTCTTCGCTGAGGTCCGAGCCGAGACTTCCGCCGACAGCAGACGTGTAGCTGGGTGTGCGTCTGAGAAGCGGAGTGGGGGATAGGCGGCTGGCGTCTGTTGAACCCACGAGAGGCGTCATTCCGCTCCGCGCACTGCCCGCGTCGCTTACGCTATAGTCTTCTAACGCGCTGTAAGGGGGCGCTGAAACGCTGCCGCCGACACCGAAACCGACACCGTCACCACCAACACCACCACCACCACCACTTCCGGTTCCTCCTCTGTCTAATCCCGTCATCTCGAGGGACTGAGACTCCGGCAGAAGATGCACAGCGAACTGCTCAATATCGCCGGAAACGGGTGAGCGGTCGAAGTTCTCGAAAAACCTCTCGAAGCTGCCCGCCATGTTGTTCCCGGAATCCTTCTTGTTGTGGTTGTCCTTGCTGTACCCCACGTCGGGCAGAGTGACCACGGCGTAGCGCGGGTGTTGATTCATGGCGGAGCTCGCCGGGGGCAGGGGTACCAGTGAGGACTCCGCGAACTCGAGAGGAGGGCTGGGCAAGGTGGGGTCATAGCTCACGTTCTGCCGCACCAGAGCTTTGCCCTTCGACCTCCTGTTGCTGCCGTTGGCCTTGTTGGTGGGCAGCTGGTGGGTGTCCGGGGAGCGCGCGGATTCCAGGGCAGGGGTGACCACCAGTTTAGCTGTCTCGCCGTTCATGCCCCTGTTGGAAAACGCAAGGGGGAAATAATGATATGGCTAAAACTGTCCAAGACGACCACTCCCCCCCCCAAAAAAAAGTTGAGGCGAAAGTGGTTGTCTGAGAAAGCCAGATGTCTTGGACCTAAAAGTCACTGTTATAGATTCGAACTCAAAGATTTGCTGCCCAGTTATTTGATATCGTAGCGATGGTCATAGTGTCGTTGTTAGTCTATTACACCGTAAAGCACGCCCCCCCC